TTAATGATCAAAATTTAATTTAACAAATGAAGAGTTGCTCACCTGATTTCTGCTCCGTGTTCCACAAACACTCGCTTTTCAAAATGATAAACAACAACAACAACCTCCAAGCAGCACCTAAACACTGAAAAAGACACGTTTGGACAGAGATTGTGCAGTAAAGCAGGACTTCTTGGTTCTGTTTCCCTCCACCTAAACAAATGACCCTCATCACGGTCATGCAGGAACATCGTCGCTGCATCTTCAGCTCAGCGACGCCCAAAACAAAAATAGAAATACTCTGAATACTTTGGGGGTTTTTTCCCCGATCGCTGAATGATAACGAGGTGCAGCCAGAAAAAAACTCCTCTAATCTAAAGTAGATGACGGTGTGATATATTATTTGCTTGTGGCCTAAATGGATTATTAACTTCAGACGTGATCCCTGCCCGTCAACATCAGCAGCTTTATTGTGCACCCATCAGACTCCAATGTGACCAAGGTTCTCTGTGGGTCAATAAAGCCGGATTTACAGTCCAGTCCTTTACTTGTAGCTTTGATTTGTAGCCGAGCAACAGATTGGAGCTGTTCATTTAACCTCTGGATACATGTGTTGTTGTAATTAGAGCTTCCTGTTCCCCACTCTGGGCGTGTTTACAGCACTGGAGCTGCATCAGGGTTTCGTGTGACTTTGCAGCGTCTCGTTACTGATCGGGTCACGTGTATTCGTTCACAGTGAGTTCGACGTCGTATCCTGTGCGCCACATCGTATTCTTTCTGTATGTACTGCAGCGACCTTTACAGTGTGTTGCATGTTGTCTGCATTCAGCTGTCTTCATGTTGCACCTTAAGCTCTGACAGTCCTTTACTGTGCAGAGAACTGTGGGTCAGAACGACCACAGAAACAGGCTGGTTTGCAGAATGTGACCAGATCTAGTAGAACCTCGTGGTATCTTCACATCCTACAGACTTGTATCAGGACTTTTTATGGCATTTTTAGCATCTAAAGGCCCGGCGTCACCTGGAGAAGAGCTCGTCAGTCTGCTCAGATGTCTCTCAGTTCCTCAGATATCTGCAGCTTTTAATTAAGTCATAAACAGTTTTAATCTTGTTTTGATTAAATCGTTGTCTCCTTCCTCAGTGAAAAAGGATCGCTGCTAAATGGCAACGCTGTGTGACAATAAATACTAACACCTGATTAGATGGATTAGCAGATGTGGTTTTTAAAACTATACAATTATCCTTTTAATTAGAAAATGAACCTGGTAGCGTGTAATAGCAGGACGGTGTGGTCTGAACAGTTTTGGATTTTTATTTACGTTTCTGTTTCAGATTTCAGAATTACAGGCATCTCCAGTAGTGGAAAAGGCTAAAAATCCAAAATGGAAATGCAGAAAATATGTTATTTTATTTTTATTTTTATTATTATTATTATTATTATTATTATTATTATTATTATTATAGATGTACTCTAAAGGCCCCTATATGTGTTTTTTTTATTATTAATTTGTACATTTTTCAGTGAGCAAAAATGATGAAATCTATTGAAGAAACTGATGTCATATTGTATGGATTTCATTTGAATGTGTGGTTTCTGTTGTCACACAGTGTTGCTCTGTGGCAGCATCCCTCAAAGTAGCCCCTAAAAAATACAGTTTGTAAAGAAAAAATGAAATATGCTCATCAAAGTTCATTTGAAGTGATAAAAAACCCTTTTTCCCCCATGATTCTGTCTCAGCGTGTGCAGTCGAGGGTTCGTGTCTCAAGCAGCCAATCAGTCCCCATGTGGAGGGTTTGTGGTGGTTTATCCTCCGCTGAACCTGCACATGTAGCCGCTGTAGCTTCAGTGCAGCCCTTTAACTATAAATCCAGCTTTAAATTCAACTATACTTCACAAAATTTCAGTGTAAATTCAAACCAACAAGATTTTGAGGTTTAATACTGAGCACAACTGATCACACCCACAGTTTAGTACCAACCGGCAAACAGTGAGTCTGGGACTTGTGAGGCCTCTGAGGGTCCAGGGACTGGCAGCTTCAATAAAAAAAAAAAACACACTTGGAGGTTAGTTTTCAGGAAATGCATTTGTTAAACTTTACTTTCGTTGTGTAAATGTGTTTGTCAGAAGAGTGTTTCTCTTTCTAAAACATTCGTATTGTTTCATCACACAGTCTGTCTACACAGGTTTCATAATGACAGCGTTGCTCATTTTCACACGTTTATTTTGAGAGATAATAAATATAAGGCATGTCAGAATGGCAATATTGTATCAAAGAGTGTACATATGTAAAAATAAAGAAATAAAATAAAATGAAAAATTTAAAAAAATGTATAAAAGATGTTGATGAAGATGTGACAGAGATCCTAAAATGTCTTATTATGATGTAAATTAAAGTATATGAAGACTTGCTGCTAAGGTCTGTAAATTGCACTTCAGTAACAAATAAAAAGTGAATGTTTGTACTGTATATGTGAATAAAACCACAAAATCTTGTAATTTTATTTTGCCTTATAGTTTTTTGATTGATCATTTGGTTTTATAAAATTAGAAAGTCTGCACCGAGTGCTGAGATGAGGCCGTTTCCACTGTGATCTGTTTTCCTCAACGATCTCCTTCCCGTGTGATCATGTGCCGGCCCCCAAGAGCATCCAGACCTTTTTTTTTTTTTTTAAAGAGGCTCCTGCGTCTCCCAGGGGAAATCCACGAGGAAATGATTATCTCCGTTAGGCTCAGTGGCAGGTGTCACGCAGACCAGCCACCAAATTAGCCTGGAGGAAGAACGAGGTGAGGAAGAGGAGGAGGAGGGTGAGGGTGTGGAGGTCTGAGGTGCGCCTCCTCGGTTGCGTCCACCCCTTCCCCCCCTCAGGCCGTGGAGTCGGCTGTGGGCTCCAACAATAAACATCATAATTGACAATTTGCTGCAGCGGCTGGTCACGGCCAAGCAGCTCTAATCTAATGGACGAGGACACAGAGGGAAAACTCCACAGTTAGTCTGTCTCTCGGCTACACGCTGCTTCTCAGTGAAATCGTAAAGTATAACACTATTTCAATACGGATCCAGCATAGCCAACATTCTGTACCTACAGAGGGATGATATGTGCTCGCTGGAAGGGTCCCTCTCCACTGTGATGGTTTATACAGTATTTATAACATAGAACAGATATAAAATGATCAGTAAACCTTGTTTGGCATCACATGGCCTCC